GCATAAGGTTGGAGTCTCGACGACTGGTTTTTTCACTTTGGCGGGCGTGGGCTTTTAGCCAAGTTGGCTGTCCCGTCGCATCTAAAACGGGTTGATTTCGGGGTGAAGGTCACTTTTTCGTCACTTCTCTTGACCGGCAGTACAGAGTAGCATGCTTTCGCATGATATGGTTTTTGCGAAAATGGCGGTGATCTGACACACCGTATCTACGGGGCCCCTGTGGCCTGTATAAATCTTCACCCTATTTAGTTTGTTCAATAGACTCTATTATTTCCTAAGGTAACTGCATTTTGATATTTATTCCGCACAACGATTTTCATCGGCAATATGAGTGATCGTCTAATTCAATCGAAACTTCATATCCAGATTCCTTGTTTAGCATGTGACACCTCCTTTAGTACACCAAATCTGATTATCCTGAGCTGAAATAGTTCACTGCCATAGCTAATCTGATTACCCTGAGCTGAAATAGTTTACTGCCATAGCTAATCTGATTATCCTGAGTTGCATTAGTTCACTGCCATAGCTATTCTTAAACTTCACCATCTAAGTTATACACGTTTCACTGGAGCTTCATTCGTCATGCGGGTATTCTTCAGGGAGCTGACGGGCTGGTCTGATCCAATTCTCTCCCAGCGTAATTGGGATCAGATCGCACATCAACATCTATGGTTTCCTGTCAGATCTTCCTTTGCACTCTTGGCCAGCATTATACTTGACCATGCATATAGATGTACCTCAAGAAGCTTGCATGATTATGGTATTCTTCTGGACTGAAAAACTCCATTGTTCAGTATTTTCCAGAGCTCAATTTCCACCGGGTATAATGCTGAACTACTTGTGACCGTTCAGTTTCCCTGCATGACTGCACCGTCTTCAGGAAGCCTTCAGATAAGTTTTCTTCCTTTTTCTTGAAATTGTTATTTTAGTGTAACCTCAACTCTTTTGTTTTGTCTTCTCGGCCAACTGTCGATGAATTTAATGACTTGTTAGAAGGAAAATTTAATTTAGAAGAAAAAAAAATTAATTAGTAGTTAAGGTTTATTTGATGTTCCTAGGCTGAGAAAATTAAAAATATATATATATAATAACCTTTCAGGCTCAGTTGGCAAAAATGAATATTACTTAAATTACATCACTACCTCGTCTTAGAAATCTTGTTACAGTTGTGTTATATTATATTTTACTGTTAATGATTTTATTTATGCAATATAATCTATCCATCTTTTTCGGTTATGGAATATTAATAGTGTAGGTGAAAATTTTAATTATGTGCAATATTGATTTAAATTCTGCATCTTTCCTGTTATTGTAATTTAATGGTCCCTAGAAACCATAGTAAAGAAAATAAATTTGGTGCTTGTAAAAGGTTTAAATTCTAGAAATTGTACCCAGTATTTTACCTAGCTTACTTGTTAATTTGCAAATGTTCAATTGAATTAAGTATTTTGTTTCCAAGGTAGGAATGCGTTCTCAAATAGCCTGTGTTAAAATTTGGCAGGAAAATAAATTGGTTACAGTATATGTTAAGGTTAACTGTTAAATATTAATTATTCCCCCCCCCCTCTCCGGAGAAGGTAAAATTTTTTCTGCTAAAAAATACTGTCTGGTTTTGGTATCTACCATTAGTATTTGATGCTATATTATTAGGCTCAATAAACTTATATATTTTCTTTGGATTAATTAAGTGTATGTTTTATTTAATTAGTTCATGTCTTTCACCAGTTGCCTAATTAGGGTTGTTATATTTTCCATTAGTAAACACAACGCAATGTTAAAATTTTTGAGTCAGGTTAATCAGTTAGGAAAATTCAAATTCGTGTTACCGTGTCTTTCTTAAAAAGGCACGGAACACATGAAATGATTTTCAAACCATTTGTTCATTAACACTTGTGTCATCCATGCTATTTTTATTTGCACGATATAAAACGGGGAAATCTTTACTCCTTTAAATAGCGAGGTCGCGTATTTTTTCCAGTTTCAGCAGCATTGTCAGTTTATTCTGGAGATAACTTTTCACTGTTAATGAGTTCAGTGAATTCATCACTGAACAGCTCTTTCTCTTATTGCTCTTTCTCTAAATTTCAAAAAATTTGTCTTCCCTATATTTTGCTGCCCAGTGCAGCCATACGAGCTGTGGCACCGGTTCTGAGTTTATGTGAATTACAGTCAGTTATTCTTAATTTATACAACACTAAATGCAATATTTTGGCTTATGAGTATAATTAACAAAATTTATTTTTAGCATAAAGGAAAGAAAAGTTTTTTAAACTTTTCCTCGTAAACATTTCTCGGTGCATTTTAACTTAAATCTGCAATGATCGTTAAGCCTAATATCAACATAAAACGTAACCATACTCTTTGCTATTTAATTACTAATATATTAAAAAAAAACTTTTTAGGCATCTCTGAATGAGTCAATTACTCAAGTAGTAATGTGTTGATATACATGGCCCGTTGAAAGCAAAATACTAGGGGAGCCAAGAATTCGTTACAACTTTAAAAATTCATAAAAAAAGGAAGAAATTATGATAAACAGTTTGCATGAAAGGATTCACAAGGATGTCAGTTTTTTTTTTAGGAAAAAAAAAAATTTAGTTTCAAATGTTAATGGTAGAGGGCACTGACGACCCAAAACACAATGAACAGGACAATAGTATGCTCCATTAATTTATTCTTTCAATAACATCGAAACATGTTATTGTACAAATCTGCAAATAGTTCAGCAGCCTCAGTTTTAGCTGAAGATTTTTCAACTGACATTTTTAATTGCATTATACCATGGTGATTTTAAAATTTGTTTAACCAGTTTATCAAATATGTGCACTCAGTTTTTAAGTTTATTTCTTCGTGAAATATTTTGGCTTGAGCCATTAGCATTGGACACATCTATGGCAAGCCCTTGCTGTGATACTGTCTGACCTATTCAATCATCACTTTGTCGTAACCATCATTTTTAGCATAAAAAATAATTTTTTCATTATTCATTGCGAGTGGGGTGTCCGAATACACAAAAAATTCAAAAAGTTCCTTTTTTTGTTTCTTTATGTCATATACAGTTGACTTTCCAATGCCATACTCCTTGCGTAATTGTGAGACGGATATACCCTTATCCATTTTTTGCAGCGTTTGTATTTTTTGTTTAATGGACATCGAAACAGGCTTTTGTTTTATAGATCCTGTTGCAGCTGCAGAATTAGAAAAAACTCTTTTTGGCATAATCGAAAGTTCAAAATTAATTTTTTATGGTATGGTTTTCCGATTACGAAAAGTTTGCACTTGTGCATTCTTGCAGCATTTGCGCACGCTAAAATTGTTAGTCTCACTTTGGAATCTTTGACACCAGTTGGAGCCTTTTTCTGTAGAGGTTGGCAAGGTATTTCGCGATACATATTGCCAGAAAGACCAGTTTCATCAGCGTTGTAAATTTGTTCTAGAGATAATTGTTCACTAGTAATGAGTTTGTATTCATCTGCAAATTGTTCAGCAGCTTCAGTATTAGCTGAAGCTTTTTCATGGCTTATACCATGGTGATTTTTAAATTTGGTTAACCAACCTTGTGGAATATGTGCACTCAGTGTTTAAATTCATTTCTTCATGAAATATTTTGGCTTGAGCCATTAGCATTGGATCAGTCAATGGCACGCCCTCACTGCAACACTGTCTCACCCATTCAATCATCACTTTGTCATGATGATCACTTTTAGCATAACAAACCCTTTTTCTGTTATTCATTGCAAGTAGGGTGTCGGAGTCCATAAAAATTCAAAAAGTTCCTTTTTCTTTTTGCTTATGTCATATACAATTGACTTTCCGATGTCATACTCCTCACATAATTTTGAGACGGATATGCCTTTATCCATTTTTTGCAGCAATTCCACTTTTTGTTTTATGGACATCAAAACATGCTTTCGCTTTGTAGATCCTTTGGCAGCTCCAGAATTGGAAACTCTTTTTGACATAATCAAAAGTTCAAGCTTAATTTTTATAAAATTGCTCTAACAGTCTGCAAAAAATAATAAGCCGGATCCAATTAGTTGATTTAGGAACAGTGCAATCTGCAACATTAACTGAAATGCCTTAGAATCAGTAAAGATAATTTTAGCCTAGCTTATACCGTCCATTATGCATTAAACGTGCATGCGTAAAGCATACAAAAAAAAGTTTGTGGCTTTGAGGTCCGGATAATGGACATCCGGATTACGGACCTTGTACTGTATATATGTTTGTTTGGAGTCAGACGGGAAGAATTTTAGGTACTTTCTCATTATTTGCACTCCCCCTATGAAAAGCTGTGAACTCATTCATGACTTTAGAAAGCATTCACAAACTTGTTGGTGACTAATTTTTCTCAAAGCTAATGAATAGAAGGCTACAGCCATTTTCAAAATGGTGGTGCACTAAGAATTTTTTGCAAGAATTATCAGTCAGTAAAACTGACAAAGCAAGAAGCATTTGGATTAAACATCTACCTATCTATCTTGTTTGAGAAATACCTATATACGAATATCTTGTTTGAAAATAAAATATCATTCATTAAATAGATTTCTTTCTTTTGTTTAACTGGAAATCAGTTGCAGAAACAGACATTTTTTAATCCATATTAGGCTTATTCTAATCTCAATCTTTAGCGCAGAAAAAAAATCCTATTATAGTTATAATAGTGATACGTTGGGCGATTTTATATATATGTATATACAAGCATATAAATCATATGAGATTGTCAAATTTTTGAGTTTTCAAGTGGACCATAATTAATTTACCAAACAGCACAGCTAATGCACACTTTACGGATAGACTGGAATTTTCTTAAAACACACCTGGAAAACCGAGAAAATCAGGGAATTTCATTCTCTTGTTTGAGTGACAACTCTGTGTGCAGTTTTTGGAATTTTTTGGATTAATCCAGGTTTAATGTATTTATTCTAAAGATATGCTTTTTTGATAAACATCAAAATTCTTATTTATTAGGTATGAATTTGGATGTAAATAGCATTGCTTCACGAGATATTTCATCATCTTGGGCTGCTGCTTTACCACAGTTCTTGATGCGCAGAAATGCTATTGCTGGTATTGCCCCTTTTGTACCAAGACATTATTCTTCTGCTTCAGGTTAGTTTTAATTTTTTTCCCTATCCTTATTTTTTCATATTGAATTTTCTGAATATTTATGTACAAGCAAGTTGCAGTTAGTTGAATAATAATATGTCATATGTGATCTGGACCATGAGTAATTGATTATAAACTGCTGGCCATCCAAAATGCCACACCATGAAGGAAGCATCCAAGCAACATGAAACTTGCATTATATGTATATCATGATGGATCATGCAAATGATTATAGTTTTAGCTCACATACACATAATGAGCCGCTGCAGCCCTCCTTATAATCCACATATAAAGGGAGAAAGACTGCTAGTGTTTCATCTATACAGCTTAAATATGCCTCATAGAATTGAGTATCATTCGAGGATGTTTTTAAGTTCAACCGAGGCAGAATCGTTGCATACAGACATATTGTCCTTCCGTGTTGGATGTAGCCAAATAAAAGCTATGTGAATATGGATTTGGTTGAGGCACCAGAAAATGATGAACAGATAGGAGCAATTGAAGTATTTCATATAAAGACGGACATATTGTACGCATGGCACTGATGTATCATATATAGTACAATGTCTTGTAGGCATCCATTGCTTCGCTTACCTTTAAAGTATAGGTGTTTGTGTTTGCTATGGTGCACTGAACGGCGGAGATGGACATTTGAATGATATGACGTGTTTTTGGATGAATCACATTTCTGCCTGCAGTACCCTGATAGTGTTTGGTTAGAGTTTGGAGACGCTATGGAAAGAATTTGCTTGACTATTGTGTTATGCATAATCATACAGGTCATGTGCCTGGTGTTATGCTGTAGGGTGGTGTTAAATTCCACTCCTGCATCCTCTAGTATGCAAGTATACACTTATCTCTAGTATACACTTATCAACCAATGCTATATCTCTGAGGTTTTGCAGCCTTTTCTCCTTTCTTACCTTCAGGACTTGCCTGCAGCCACATTTTAAAAGAACAATGTGTGACCACATGTTGCATGTAATGTTCAAACTTCCTTCTTAGCTCACAATATTGCACTGTTACCCTGGTCTGCTTGTTTTCCCGATCTATCATCCATTAAACATATCGATCAATGATTGGAGAATGCAGGTGCCTAGCTTGTCTTGCTGCACTTGTGGATACACTAGGGGAACTTTGGCTATATATGGAGGCAGCATGGGCTGTCATTCCCCAGCAACATATCCAAAGCCTCTTTCACTCATTGCTGCGGCATGTAGCAGCAATTATTGACAAATTAGGAGGCAACACTCTGCTGATTTTCTCATCTTCTTCACTTTAAAGAATTAGTATTCAAATTTCAAATCAGTTAACATTGATACTATAGTTAATCTCTGAAATAAATCTGGATTTGATATCTCTTGTTCTTCTTTGTTGCATTTCAGATGGCCAGTAGTGTATATGTGTAACATGATGTTTGACTAAAGGTAAGACAAGTTTGTGTTTTAATGTTGTATTTATACGTTATTGACGAGCCAATTATGCATTGGTGTGTGGTATGGGGTGACGTCTCAGGTGCCAGTCGCATGCAGGTGGGGGAAAAGTAACACCTCATTGTTTATTCTCTAGTTCAGTTGGCATTACATTTTGGGTATGTATGCTGGTATTGGTGTGGAATGAAGGTTAGAAACTAGTTATACATGTATGTGGTTCTGAATTAAAGTAAAGTTTCGTTTTATGCAACGATTATACACAAATATCATTCTAAAATATATAGTTTGTCATAATATTGTGTCACAGTATTATGAAAAACTAAAAATCAATTACTTTGTAATAAAGTCATTTGTAATACATATATATTTATTTGTGATATAGTTTCATACAAAAATAATGCATATTGTTTCTTATTTTGATTTGTTTTTAAGTAACACATGCAGCACATAATGTGACATTGGGAAAATAATTTTACCACTACTGCCAATTATGCAGTGGTGCTTAACCATAAAATTATATGATTAAAGGTTTGACAATCAGTGTGATGCATATAATCATCTTTTATTATCTCTTTTTAAATCATATTTCTTATAATAAGTTAGTTGGCATCTGAGTATACGTCAGGGAAATAATTAGGTACTCTTCTGTTATTGGGACTAGATTCAGAAATGTATGTATGTATGCACATGTGTATGTATGTGTGTGCTTATATGTGTGTGTATATACACATATGTTCATATATACATGCATACATGAGCACATTCATCCATCCATACATACATACATACATACATTTCTGAATCCTGTCCCAATAATAGAACAGTACTAATAATTATCAACACAACCTCACATGACTGGTAGCAAAAGTGTCTGAGTAGCAAAATATCAACTGAAGAGCATTGTTTATGATAAATATATTTCTTTTTAACTGTATGTTTTAGTAATAATATCTGTAATTTTAATCGTTTTCAAATTATTAAATCTGAAATAAATTTGCTTTTAATGTAACATAAGTTATCCGGTTACGTTCAACACCCAACTTTTGGAAAATAGTACAAATAAATCTATTGTTGGTTTTGTTTAGCAGAATACTACTTAAAGTGATGGAAGCAGTTGATAAACATATTATCAAAGTATAATTTTTGTTTTCTTACATTTTCCTTTAAAAATGTGTTACATTTTAGGATTACTAGATGTGTTCTCACAAAAATATTTATTGATGTTTTTTACTTTTATTTTTGTCACTTATAAGGGTATAAGGAATTAAATGGACTAACATCTAAGTGATAAAAATAAAATGTCTATTAAATATACTTGTTGAGTGCATGCACTAGCTATTTTTCGAGAAATCTCTCAATTTTCATTTACAAAATAGTCTGGAAAAACTTAAAGTAGGCACATAAACCTAAAACTGTAGTCCTTTTAATTCAGTATATTTCATAGAATGTTAGTGGGAAGTTTCATAAAATTACTATCGTAATATATAAGTTTTTTTGGGGGGAGGGGTAACAGGAAAGTTCGAAAAAATCAAATTAAAAAAAAGGTTTAATGTAATGCAACCATAAACAGAAAAAAAAAATAAATAAATAAAATGTTGCTATGCATGAAAATTAAATTGCAAAACTAATCTTGTTCCTGAACACTTAATAAAAAATAGAAAAGTTCAAAATCATCTTTTGAACATTAGTAAAGTATTCAAATGAAAAATTCCCATTTCAAAATGATTTACTATAGTCTGTATACATAAAATCAACTTCCAAGTTCTCAAACAAAAATTTCAGGGTTGCCACACTACCTGAAAAACTGGGAAAAGTCAGTGAATTAAAAAATTGACCAAAAAAGTGTGGGAATTTAAATATTTTAGTCAAAATCTGAAAAAACAGGGAATTTCATTCTCCTCTTTGATCGGTAACCCTCTTCCAGTTCACTGTGTAGAGCAAGAAGAGGTGCTGTTCTCCTTGTAATGACCAGAGAGACAATATATAAGTAGTTTGGGGAAGCTTAATGTATAAACCTTAAAATAAAGTAAAAAAAGTTTTTTTTTTTTTTTTTTTTTTTTTTTAAACATCAAATTTGACAATTAGAACATAGTTGGATGCCTTAATGCAGAATAACACTCAATCACAAAAACTTGTTTTTAAATCTTTACAACCTGATTTTTATATATCCTCAAAATGCATTTTTACTAGTATGGAGATGCAATGATATTTCAAAATTAATCTTTTATTAGAATGAATTTTGTTCAAACAAAAATAATTACCGTTATCTGAATATCTTTTAGAAAGTTATTGTTTGAATATAAAGGATTTTTTCCCCTTTTTTAAAGAAAAGAAGAGGAATTTAAAGTATCTGGTTTCTAAATGAGAACTTGTATGTGCTCTGAAATGTTAATAATGAAATTTATTTTTTCTCTCCTAAAAATCATGCACATTTAGCTATGAATTCTGATGTATGACTTTTACATTAACCCTCTGACTGTTCAATTTGTGGACCGAAATAGCTTCCAATTTTTTTTCTCTCTCATATTTGAAATCTATATATACTGGAGAATTTAAAAATGCACTTTTTCTTTCTAGAAAATATTTTTTATGTAGATTTTTATCATGAGAAACTAAGTTGCGAGAAAAACCAATTTCAGATGTTATCACCAAAAAAAAAAAAAAAAAAAATGTTTTTTTAAAATAAATTTCATTCAAATTAATTTCTATTTATTGCATAATATAAAAAAGTAAAATGTATAAAATTTAAGAAAATATAAAGCACTGAGGGAAAAATACCTTAGAAATGTAGTTTCGTATGATAGAGTTCAAAACAGGGTTCAAGGCAAAGTTCAACTTCACAGTCTTTGCACCAGATTCAGTAAATCTAATTAATAATCAATCTAATCAAAAATCTAATTAATAATTCAATAATTTAATTAAATAATCAAGATAATCGCTGAATGTTTTCTTGCAGACATTTCTGTAAGAAAAAAGCGGCAAAAAGTGAAGTTTGAGCGCTAATACCACGTGCCTTCAAATGCCTAACAACTAACGATATCTATTGCCCAAAACGTAACGTAAGCTCCTAATACTGTACTTAATTTACTATTTCAATAGTTAAACGGGCAAAAAACGGGCATGCGTTCCTCAATAAAGGAAGAAAAATATATGCCCGCAGAGATCGCGGAATGAGCAAATTTTGCTACATTTGAGTTGCCCGTGGAAATCGTGGGATGATCAGCCAGAGGGTAAATTATATTTAGCCATACCCTTTATACAGTTATTGTCGCGAAGCGGTATCTTAACTTTAAATTAATAAACCTAAGAATACATCACTGCGAGTGGACTGTAAATTTTAACCTTTATTTGCGGTTTGAACTTTCGAACCCAACACAGCACAAAGTAAAACGACAGAGTTACAATTAGCGTTTGCAAGAATGCAAGAAACAAAATGCGAGCTACGCATACAATCTGTGCATTGCGAAATAATATCTAACAGACAGGCAGAGAGCTCTGGTGGCCGAAACATTCCGCCCGGCGTTGAAACATAGTTCAAACAAATAGCTTTTACAAAGAAATTACCATAAC